TATGTATTTGTTTTAACTCTGTTTTAGGACAAGCAAAGTTTTTATTAGAAGTAAAAGGTTGCTTTAATCCCTGAATTGATAAAACTCTCAAGTATTTATTAGAGACATAAAAAAATTAATAATTTATTAAAGAATTCAAAATCCATAAAAAATAGAAAAGAAATGCACACCTAAAGGTGATTTTGTTCAAAAAAATAATTTTGGGGCTATACAAATAATTACAAATATTTTAATTCCTGGGGACAGAAAATTGAGAGTCAGAGACATGAGTTAATGAGTCTATAGACACTGAAATTATTAAAGAAAAAAAAAATGAGCTTAGAAGAAACATATATTATATGTTAAAATATGTGCTTTGAAATTTAATTTAATTCCCCAAACTAGCTATTGGATTTCCCTTTGTGGGGGAATGGCCATATGTATGGTGGGTAGTTATGAGACCAAAATTAAATTTCTAACTCTCCATCATATTAGCAACTGTGACTTTGTGCAAAATACTATGTTTCAAGTTTCTTGAAAACAAGACATCTGGTATATGTAGTACATAGGCACCCTATATTAGTTATCAACTCTTAATAATTTAGCTAATAGGTATATGTCTTGAATTATGATAAAGATGATTTCTATACTCTAGAAGCTTAGAACACACAGAGAGAAAGTTACTTAATAAACACTTGTTAATGACATCATAGTGTGTGGATCCCAGATCCTTATCCATAGAGTGTTACGGAACAATGGGAGCATAAAATCTAAACTGGCTGGAGAGTAAGGGTGATGTACTTCTCTGGAAACTCAGTATAGGGACCTTTTAGAGGGGAGTGCTCTTAGGATCTGTGGCAGAGCAAAAGAGACAAGACTGAACAAAGGGAAAATAGTACTCACACACAATCACAGGGAGTAAAGACCTCAGCTAATCTCAAGTGGAATTGTAGACGTTTACCAGTCATTCAAAATTGTCCCCAATTGAGGCAAGAAGGGTTTTACATTTCTGTATTCATCTCTCCTTAGATGAAATCTATTGGCAGAAAGGAGGGGTTTCCGTGGGTGATGTGATTCTTCTCAGCCATAACCAATACCTAGAGAGGGGACCCCAGCTGGAAGCTGTCCATCAACAGCATTCCTGGGAGGTGGGAGAAGGAGTGCTTTGGCTCTGAAGGGGGCAGTGGGTTGACACATCACAGCCTCTGCCATAGTAGGTATCAAAGAAAAGTTCCTGGCATAAGAGAGAATCTGTAAGTTTTAAGACATATCTTTATGATAAAGTTGGATTTATGTATGTAGGGCAAGGAGATAGTCTAAACAAAGGCATGAAGTGCTTAGGGAAATTGCAAGTTGCAAGTTACTAGAACATAATCATAATGAAGAGGAAATCTAGTAGATAAAGTTGGAGGATGTATATGGCAGCAATAGCAGGAGAAGTAGGTAGTAGCCAGATCATGAAGAGTCTTAGTGGCAGACTTTAACTTGCAGATATTTGAATGTTATCCAAATCTATGATGGAGATGAAGAATCATGTCTGATTGTTGGAAAAAATCACCCAAGCAACAGTGTGGAAGAAATGTTGAAGAATATCAAGACTAGAAGCAGAAAGGCTCCATAATGGTTTGGGTGTTAGATGACGAGGCTCTGGATAATGCTACCTCTCCAGGGGAGGTATTTAATAACTTCACATTGATTGTGTGCTATTTCACATGATATGTTTATCATGACACTCTTACATTATTATTTTTTCTCCTTTACATTCTCTTGGGTTCTATAAATTTTATTTTCTATCTGAGAAAATCATTTGAAGTTTCCTCAGAGGATAAAAGGAAAACATGTGTATCACACACACATTTGTAAGCCTATCTATCCATTCACAATCCTTACTCATAATATGTTAAGAGCATGAGAAAAGTTTTTCTTTTTGAATTTGGTCTGTTTATTATGACTACAATTGATAGAAATTTCAAGATAGAATATTTTTAAACAAGAAAACTTGAGAAGTTTCTAAGTTTAATTCAAAAGAAGAAAATTCTGGAAAATGGAAAAATATAAAAAAAAATTTGGCATGCATTCCATAGTTTTGAATTAAAGTTGAAATTTAGTTGAATTTGAGGTAAGTGGATCAAAACCTTAGTTTCCTTTTGTGTGTGTGTGTGTGTGTGTGTGTGTGTGTGGTACTGGGGTTTTACTCAGAGTCTCATGCATTCTGAGCAAGCACTCTACCATTGAACTACACTCCCAGTCCTTTTTATTTTTTATTTTGAGACAGGGTACCATTAAGTTACCCAGGCTGGCCTCCAACTTGCAATCCTACTGATTCAGCCTTCCTGGTAGCTGGGATTATAGGCATGTACCTCCAGTGCCACATCTTTAAAATGGGTCTAATAATACCTATGTCAAAAAGTCACTATGAGGATTAATTAACTAAAGTGTCAAAATCATTTTGCTAAATGATTTTAGCAAATAATTTATCACAAAGGAAGGGGTATCAGTTCAGAACAAAGAGAGAGGAATGGAAGAAGAGTACCTCCAAGCAAGGATGAATGGCTGGAGTTGCAACTTGGGGCCACAGGTGGTGCCACTGACCCTGGAGAAGCAGTGGTGGCCTAGGGAGGGAGAAAATCTCCAGGTGTTAGCTTTCCATTTTAAGCTTACCCTCCCTTTCTTTGAAAGAGTGAATGACAGCATTCTATAGTATGTTTCCTTTAACCCTCCACCAGAAAAAGCATTATATTTTAATGAGTTCTGATTTCTCATTTGATACCAGTGTGAATCCTGGGCTTAATTGCATGAGAAAGTAATGGTTGCAGATCTGCCATCTGTGAGGTCACTACAACAGCATGACAGCGGAAACTATGCTGCACTAGGCAGGAAGCAAAAGTCTTTTTCATTCCTTGGGAAAAGTGTTGTCTATTTTCTGGACTTCAGCTTTCTTTCCCCGCAAAACAGAGATTGGGAAATAAATTGCTAAGTTACTTTTTAGCTTTATAATCCTGATTCTCAAGGTTCGCAAATTTCTTAAGAAAGGTAAGTGAAAATCCCAGAGTGTGTACCTCACTCTACCTGGGAAGACTTCCTTTCTGGTCATAGATCCATATCATATGGGTGAGGAAATGGAATCATAGATGCTGAGAGAATGAGAAATGCTCAGGAGGGCAGCGGGGGCCAGAGGAGGGGGGACTCCAAGAGGAGGCCAGTGTTCCTTCCTCATGCAGATGGCAAAATAGCATTCACACCACACATCCAACCCCTACAACAGATGCCAGCTCTCCTCCTAAACCTTCCTAGACACTCCTTGTTCCCCTAACACTATCCCAGCCACACATGCTTGTATGCACACATACATAGCTCCCCCCACCAACCTCCCACCACCACCTATAGAGAATTGAGAGACATTCTGGAAATGAACCAAAGCAAATTCTTCAGGAGCCTAGAAAAAGACCAAACTAATTATTTGCAAGTCCTATTGTCAAGCTGTATGACATTAGCCAAGTTTCACTTGGTTTCAAGTTTCAGGTCAAAACATTTACATAAGAGTACCCCTGATGTTTTACAGTGGTTTTTCTTGTTATAAAACTCTCAAAATATTGACCTCCTTGGAAACATTTCTTCTTCCACCCCATTGCATTTTATAAATGTCTCATCTTTGGTTTCTCAAATTGCTATTAAGTAGACCCTTGCTCTCCCATGGGACTGTCCACCCTTTAGATCTACTTCTCACCCTCTGTTGTGGTGACATCATCACTGTTTATTAAGAAAATTATTATTATGTCTCCAGGGATCCAATTCTACATGTAATCTATTGAAAGAAAATGAATTGAGCCATGAAAGAGATGAAGATTTAAATTCCTAAAGAATATTATGTCTTAAAAAGACAAGAAATAGAAACAGTCCCATTACAAGGAGATAGCTATGCTGGTTGGAAAAAAGCACAAGGATTTGGTTGCTACCATTGCAATTTGCTTGAAGAAATGTGCCATCCTTTTAATGTATACAATCATGATTCCAAGACACACAGGGAGTAGTCACAATACTGAGTTAAATTTCCCCAGTACCAATAATTAAAAAAAAAATTGTATTTCAGATTTACTAATTATAAAATCGAGGCACACACAATGGAGGACATTTCAAGTATCACAGTAATGGATAGCAATATAAGAGCACCTAAAATATTCTCCTTGTTCTCCAGGAATAGCAATCAGGTGTCTATGACTACTTAGCAATACAGTTTGACTGTGAGGTCTGTATGACTAGAGACCACCAAATGCCCAGTGCCTAATAGAATTCTTGGAACTTAGAAATACCACAATAAGGAATAAATTTATACATCATGTTGTTTTCATAACCATAGTTTTAATTAATTTTTCTAGCATGAAAGGTGCTAATTGAAAATCAATTCAGAAACATCTAAAATTAAGTGTATAGTTTGGCTATTTTTATATCCCAGTGATGCATTCTGTATATGTATGTTATTATTGGATTTATTTTCACCCTTTTATTATTATTTACAAACAAAAAAGTACCTTTTAGTTATGTCTCATCTCCTCTTTTATAATCACTCAAAAATATTTAAATTGTTCTCTTGTCACCTTCAAGATAGTTAGAAAAATAATAATTTAAGGAAGATAAAGAAAGCAGAACAACAACAACAAAAATGCTTTGGTAGAGGGAAGAAATTAATTATTTCAAGCCACTGAGTTGTAGTCACTTATGTTATGAATCTTACATGTATGAACCAGTACACTTCATAGCAATAACTAAAACAACACCAACAACCATATTATACTTCAGATTTATTTCATCATTCACTAGAATTCAAGCCAATGTTAAAGGTAGTCAGTCTATGAAAAGTAAGATGTAAGAAGTCTTTACTGTTTTGATTTGTTTTTGTTTTTGATTTTTTTTTTCATTTTGAAAGATGATTTTCATCATTTTCTTTCAGGCTTCTTCACGAATATTCCTAAATGGCTAGATCAAAGGTAGTCAAGTACTACGCTGAATGAAACAAGACTTACCTGTAGTTTTGCTTTTCATTTCCTATGTGGAATCTGTCATACTGTGAGTAAGCTCGGTTCCCTTCCCAGTCCATTAACTCAATCCTTAGCGTGTACTGCCTCTGACTGGTTATGGCAAAAATAAACTCATTTCCCAGCCAATATTCACCAGAGGGATTTCCAAAACCCTGGGAAAGAAGATGGACATGAACTTGTTACTCCAGAGGGAAACTTTTCATGTTTAGCCTGTTTTCTAAGTAAAAATTAAAAAAAAAGTACTATCTTTTAAAGTCAAGATATTTCTTTCAGAATTTTACACACTGATTTTTTCTAATATTGATTTACTTTAATAGTCTTCTGTTATACGTGCTTCCATTTGAGGCTTATGTCTAATTCTCATTATAGGAAAATCTGTGTTCATCAAATATATATATATATGGATAAAGTATTTTTGGATTAAATGAATTTGATCAATAGGTTTTACCAGAAAACCCTCCTCGATTCCATTTGCTTTCAAATATGTTTCTAAAATTCTGGTTATTCTTTTGAATATAATTTGAGTACTATCAGAGTAGTGTTTTTTCATTGAGGACTATCAGGGTAGAATCAGACAAGTTATTTAATAATACTGTTTTGTGTCTATTCAGGAGTCCAATTATATACCTATACTTTATGGATTATTAGACCTCTGATTTGAGCAGTTTTGCATTGTTATTTTTTAATATTATTAAGAAAATCTGTAAGTCTGCAACCATAATCATTCACATTGCTCCACTGGCATGAATGTAGGTTTGGAAGGCTGACTGGTAAGAGCTGAGTAAGTACACATGGCTGACCACTGTGCCTCTTAATCTCAATATGGCTCCGTTCTTCTCTTTGGGGCAATCCCAGTCATGGCTGTTAAGTACTCAAAATAGTTTCTCTGTGGGAGGAAAGAGAAGTGGTCCCCAAATGTGAGCCAACTCTAAGTGTTGGAGATGTTGGTGACCTAAGGAGCTGCTGGCATTCTAGATTTGGGATATTCACAATTGTCTAAGAAAGTATTGCCTAATAATACTTGAAGATCAGTTCAATTCTTGGCCTACATATTTGTTTTACTGACACAGATGGGAGATCCATATAGGGAGCTAGGGAGACAAATATTATAGCACTTTACATTCACACTCAAAGAAGTAATCTTAAATGTGTGTGTGTGTGTGTGTGTGTGTGTGTGTGAACAATATGGTTGGGTCTCAGCTGCCCCACTGAATTATCACCATTGGAGTTCTGGTTAAAAACAAAAACACCTAGCTCTCCATTGAATCAAATATCTGAGAACAAGACACATGAATCTGCATCTGAATCAAGTCCTTAATTTGTCATGCACGCATTTAAAAGAAATTCAGTAATGACAGGACACACTCCCAATGTTTCACAAAGAAACAAATTCTGGTTAGCTGAGGTATTTATTAATAAATGTCTAATCCATGAGGAAAGTGCTAAAATAATTATGGCAGTTCTTGTTTTCTCAGTATAGATGACAGAATTTAGAAAACTTTTTCTTCCTTTCACACTTAATGTTTATCAGTTTTATAGAGTCTAATTACAAGAGAAGTTTTTATAATGGCTTTCTCCTTTAACAAAACTAAGCAACGAATCAATGTTCTCCATTCCTCTTTGTGCTGGTGCCCAGAGTGGACTCAAATTGCATTAACTACACAGGGCACTGCTGCCTCTGCCAATGGAATTGCTGGCCAAAAGCCGTGGTGTTTGGTACCATAACCATTTTTTGCCAGTTCTGTTATTATGGTGGTGATGTTTATAATGTGTTATGCAAATGGGTTAAATATTAGTGGGGAAAGAGGGTTTTTATAAAATCTAATTTAAATATGTAGACTTGCTCAATAAAAACAAATCATTCAAATCTTTTTGAATTAAGTGCTGCTGAGAACCTGATAAGACTGCGAATAATGGAATTTTAGAGGACTTTAAATTTTATATTACTCTGCATATGTCTTTAAGTACTGTTCTATTTTACAGAAATGAAACCAGACATTGGGTATATTCTCTTATGAGAAAGTTTTATAGAGAAACCATTGACCCCAAATCACACACTTTGGTCTTACATTTTAAAAAGTGGGTAAATGAACACATATTTTTATATTTAAAGTTAAAATGACATGTGTTACATATGTATGCACACTTTTAAAATAATTCCCCAGTTTAACTTAGTTTCTTGATTAATTGAACATCCTTGACTCAAATTGTACTGAAGATCATCTACCTTTAGCTCAAAGCAAAAATACAGGATTCATTGCATTTATTCCAGTGGCTGGAATAACTTGCTTCTCTGCTCCTAAGATACTCAAGTCACACTTTGCAAAAGTTCCATAGTGGCAGGAAATACTAGAGCAATTTTGAACATGCTAAGAATTTTATATATTCTTAAGGCAGCTGGTGCTACATACCAAGGAAAAGAGCAAAGCTTACCTTCTCCAATGCACAACCAGAACAAAAAGTTACAGGGGGCTGCAAGTCAAAGAATTAACACTTTCTTTATTGCAGCATCCCCTGGGAAGAAAAAGAAGACCACTGGGGTTTTCTTTGCATTTCTTCTCAGCTCAGACATGCCAGAACTCTCCCTATGGCCACTTGATGATTCCCTTTTCTGTGTAGTCATTGAAAAGGGATTCAGCAATTATACTAGATGTGAATAAAGAGGCTGGGAATGATGAAGTGTTAAGTTTTAGGTCACATATTTCCATGCTGTTGAAAGCCTTGTGTGAATAAAACTCTCCAGCTTCCCCAGGGAAAAGTGCAGTGATCTCGGATGAGCTTCAGAAATGAACAAGCATTAAAGTCCTTCCTACAAAAGCTGGTCCCTGTCTCAGCATGCAGGACTGTGTATCCCCCCGAGTGGAGGGACATAACCACTTTCTAAACAGTTTGCTTTTTCTTCTTTCAGAAAGAAGCAACTGAAAAGAAAGTGGTGGGATTGACCTCTAGAAACCAAAATTGAATTTCATGCACTTTCCCAAAAAACTGTCCAAATGAGCAAAATATTTGACTGCCATGAATCAAAATGGCGGTTAGATGATGTAGGGAGGAACCCTTCTGATAGCCAAATGCAGTGAAGCAGAAACAGCTGTTACATCATAAAGATGAAAAATATGCAAAAGAAGGGGAAATGGGAATGGGTTCCCACATTACTAAGCTGTCTATTGGATAGTTTATCAGGCACAACTGCCCATCTGATGTGTAGGAACAAAGGCTTGGTTTAAATTAAATAATCTCCATTTCCTATCTCTCCTCGAATTCAAAGCCTTTCTCTGAGACATATTTACTAAGGGATTTTCTGCTTTATTTCGAAGCCTCAGTTTTCTTATCTGCAAAACAGTAATCTAGAGCATTCCACATACAACATTGTAAGAATGCAATATGCCTAAGGCACCTGACTGAGTGCTGATACAGGAAAACCACATAACAAAAGTCTAAAGGTGTTGCTGTTGTTATAGTTAGAAGACATATCACAAGACTTAGTCATTTTGTTTGGTTGCCTTTCTTCCATGACACTATGTGCTCTTTGAGAGTAAGCAGATTTCTTTCTATTCCATGTAAGAAAGGAAACAAAACATTCCAGGGTCTTGTCTTTGCTGAAAATTAACAAGGGGAATATTGAGATAATTATTTAAAAGGCTTTTAGACACTGGAGACTAATGTATTGTTGATTATTTGTGTATACAAAAAATACTATAATTTTAATCCAAGAAATTAATTACCAAATGAAAAATTAAAGCCCACTGACTATAACTGGGATTAAACTGGTACAAATGAAAGTATAGACCAGCTCAATTTTGCTTCTCAATTCTAAAAGAGGATCTTTCCCCTTCAACTCTCCCTTGGTCCTATTATTTTAATCGCTCTTTCTCCATGTTCCACATGTTTAAAATCTACAAAACAGGCAATTTTAAGGTCTTATACTTGTGCTAATAAATGATTAGTTCTGATAGTTGCTTTCAACTAGAGGCGCATATCTTAAAAAGCTGTGGAGTAGCCAGGGTTGGTGGCACACTCCTGAAATTCCAGATGCTCAAGGGAGTTGAGGCAAGTTGGAGGCCAGCCTCTACAACTAAGCAAGACCCTGTCACAAAACAACAAATAAAAAGGGCTGGGGCTGTAGCTCACGGGCAAAGTGCCACTGGGTTAAATTGAAAGAGAGAGAGAGAGCGAGAAAGAGAGAGGAAGGAAGAAAGGAAGGGAAGGAAGGAAAGGAGGAAGGGAAGGAGGAAGGAACAAAGAGTGAGCTGTGGAGCTTTTGAAAAATAGAGATGACTTAGTTTCTCCATGGAGAGTGAATTTAGAATGTCTGAGGTGGGCTTGGGGATTTCGATATTTAAAAGGATTCACCGGTGAGTCTGCTATGAACCAAAGGTGGAGAACCATATAAATATAAGGTGGAATTACTATTCAGATGCAAATTAGATTATACTAATCAGACAAAATTATCAGAGTAGGGCAGGCATAAAATCCCTCCATATCAGGAAGCAAGTTTTGGTTATATAAGCAGGACTGTCTGAAACAAAAAACAAATCCATGCCTAAATTACTGAAATCACTGATGCACATCTCAAAGTACAGGTTTATACACTATTGCATATAACAGTTTACCACAGGTTGGTATTTCAGCTCAAATATCCTGCAACATCCATAAAAATAAAAACTGAAGCTTTACAAAATACTGTGCTGATGTTAAAAATAGCAGTAAATAAATAAATGTTAGTTATAAAAATAGATTTTCTTCTTTTTCTTGAGTAAAATCCAAGGATGCTATGTCATATAGTTTCATGAAACTATTATGTTTAGTTGTGTCAGTTACAATCATATAAAAGATTCTGATAACACAATTCAGATCCATTGCTGATCAATTTCAATTCTCCTCTGGGAGTTTAATAAAAGGTCAAAATATACTAGAATTTAACAATAATAATAATAATAATAATACTTACTTTAAAATGGCCTTAAGAGGCACATTTTATTTAAAAAAAAAATCATGTAGGTGAAAGATCAACATTCATTAGTTTTTGCTAAAACCTGCAGAAATGTTCAATTTTGGCTTGTGCTTTTTCCAAGTTAATAAAATTATTGTCTCTGATACTTTATTTGTTTTGTCTCATAATGATCACAGGAAGTGTTGACTTTTTATAGAAGAAACAAAATTGAAACCAGACAGGGTTTCAATAAGTCCACCTCAGACATACCAAATCCAAATCTCCATGGGGAAACTAAATCACCTCTGTTTTTAAAGAGCTCCACAACTATTTCTGATATACACTCCTAATGAAAGCAATGATAAGAACTCTTAATTTATCATAATGGGTATAAGTCCTATGAGGTTCAACTTTTTTCATATAAATGATTAAAGAAAATAGGCCTGAAAAGTGGCTTTCCAAAGGTGCAGTAATACACAATTAGAGTCATTTAAAAGCATCTACACTAATTGCTGAGACTTCCAGCTCAAGAAAGAGCAGAAGAACTGTTTATTTCATAATTTTTAAATTCTTGAGCATTTTTCTCTTTTTATTTTGAAGATGTTTAAAATGCGGTTAAAAATGTGTGTTTATTTTCTTTCCAGAAATAAAGAACTCCCAGAAGGTATGATGCTCAGAATTAAATGTTTGTGTCAAAGGAAGCTTTGTTGCGGGGCGGGGGAGGGTTTGAATACAAAGCAAGTTTGTCTCCAGGGCATTAGCCACTGCTTACTATAAAGTTAGGTCACTTAGGGTACTATTTGGGGTTCCAAGCTTCAGTGGGCTTTATATGCAAAAGCATTGCTGTAAGTGTTATTACTGGAGGCTGCTAAATGGTGCCCTTGTGACTTGAAGGAGCTAATATCAGTCCCTAAATGTCTCCAATAAAAGCCCATTCCTGACTTCTCCCTTAGCAAACATCTTTACAAATCTATAAACCAGATTTGGTGCATCTCCTCCTAAAAAAAGGTTAAGTGAAAACAAAACTCGGGTAAAAGACTTTTTTGTAGGATTAAAGCCAATGCCCAGAACCAAATAAATTGCAAACCTCTTATGCTGAGAGAAGTTTAAAGATAGCAATATATAATACATATTTGTAATTTCATGGGTTGATAACTGTAACACACAATTCCACAAACCTTGTGGGGCAAGAGACAACCCACAGATATCAACCAGAGAGAAGGGAAGGAGAGAAGTAGGCAGAAAGGGCGGGATGAAATATTATAGCTACACTCAGTGTCCAAGGAAGTGTAGCCTCCTGACACACACACAGTACAGGGGGAAGACTGAAGAGGAGCGGGTGCAGGCCAGGAAGTCTTTGTTTTCCCCCAAGGATGTGCACCCCAAGCTGAAGAAATGGACTGCAGGTTCACTTGATCTTGATGCAGGGAATAGAAATAGGTGTGATTGACAAGAATTGACATTAAGGAGACCATATCCATTTGTGGTAGAATTGTGTTATTTTGTCTTTAGGTTTTTTAAAAAAAGGCTCTGAAGAAAACAGATGAAACACTTTTTACCATGTGTTTTGATGAATATTACCAACTTGTGACATAAGATGAATTATTTTAATTTTTTAAAAAAGTCTTCAGATTCATTTTTGCCAGAATGTTTTACAATTTTGGAGCTGATTATATTTCCTGACCATGAAAAATTGACATTGAGGTGATAAATATTTCAAGTTTGAATAAAGCATAATAATCTTTCATATTCAGAAAAGGGATAAGGACAAACTGCATAAAAACTATGATTAAAGAATAATCCCAGTCTTGTTCCAATAACAAAAAAGAATTGCTTAAAAGTAGATTCATTTGTTTGGTAAATACTTACAAGACATGAATCGATTCCATATTTAACAAGTCAGTATCTCTTACTTAATGTGCCTGGCTTGCCAAGGCAGCAGATGTTTACAGCTAATAATTCACCATTTTGGGAAATCACAATGATGACAACTTTATGTTCATTTTCCATTATCATTAATTTTAATAATAATGCATTTCAGATTTGCTTGATCCTATATCAATTGTTTGACTTTGGATAACTTCTTCACATCCCATTTTAGTGGTGAAAATTTTCATGAGTTAAGGTAGTTAACAAAATAATACTTTGGGCAAAATTAACAAACGTTTTGAAGACTTTGATGTTTTAATCTTGAATAATAATAATAATAACAGCTAGTGTTTATTAAAAATTCAGTGTGCCCAAGTGCTTTACTAATATGATTACTAATCTCCACAGCATCCCTGAAAGACTCCTAATGTATAATCGTTGTCCCATTTTAATGAATGAGAGAGCTAATGTATGTGTATGAGATTTGCCTAAACTCAACCCACTTAGAAATAGTGGGGTAAAGAATAAACCTACTAATACATGCATATTTCAAGTCCATTTTTAGAACTTAGGTCTAATTCCCACCCCCGTATGTTTATAGAATCATGTAAATAGAAAAAGGTTTTAGAATCTAGCCTGACTACCATTCCAATTCTCCATAACCAAACTGAAAAACGAGGATCTATCTCCTACTTGGGTGCTTACACTGATGAGGGGGGGGACTTGCCCCTGAATAGAAAGTCCATTTATTGTTAGAAAGAATTTAGCACTAGAGAGTTTTGCTTTTACTTAGTCAAATTTTGCTTTTATGTTATATTCCCCATTCATTATAGAACTCCCCTTAAAGTATTGTAGAAATGTGGAATTTAGTTCAGTAATTTTTTGGGGGGTGGAGCTTGGTGTCCTGTGTTTCTTTAAGCTCCCAGATGATGCTAATGCTGCTGGTCCCTAGTATACATTTTGTGTAGGAGGCTCCGGTACTACATGCTTCCATCCAGTTAGTTAATTAGGTAGCTATCAGACAGGACTATGCCTAATTCTTTTCAAATATTTCTTCAGGTTAAACAATCCAAACCATTCACTTGCTCCATACATGATTTCCAGATTCTTCACATATTGATTGTAATTCTTAGGATTGTCCACTTAAAAACCTCCAGAATTGAAAACATCTTAGAGTAAATTCTGCATTTTTTGTGCCCTAAAACCTGCTACTAATGTAGAGTAAGTACACTAATCTTTGTTTTTCAGCAGCCAACAATACAAAAAAACTTTGAGTCACACCAGTCTCTCCATGGAATTCTGTCTTGTTGGTCTCAGCCTACCTTTCTATCTTGAGTCTATGGTTCATTAAAGACATTGGATTTCAACTTCATATCCCTCCAAATTGTTAATTAAACTGCATGCTAAGAGTTTAGCTGAGTATTTCATAAAAATCTGCTATATAAAGTGACAGCCCTAGAGAGCACCATTCATGAACTAAAACCCCTTTGTTTGATGATATTAAACCAACTATGAACCTACTAATTGGTGAACTATAATTTCAACCAACCACAGGTTTCACACTGTCTACAAGGTACTTAGATGGAACTTTTCTAGTATAGAACTTCCGTCACATTTTTTTTCACCTTCAGAGAGAAAAATTTGTCAAGAGTTCGAAACAAAGTTATTCATAAATGTTACATATAAAATAATGAGAATTCACTCATTAAGGGAAATCCTCATCTTTTACTGTGATTTGACATTCTGTCAGCAGGTTTTAATAGTCAATATTTTAGGCACTGAATATGAGATTATTGGATTATGGATTAATTAAATCATCTGCTATGTTACCTTGAAAAGGTTGGTCTCTCTAATCTGTTTCCTCTTAAAATAGGGATAGTATTAAATAATCAGTTTGATATAAAAATTAGATAAGACCAGCACATACTAAGGATTGAAAACATCAGCTACAAGAATGTTGGCAATGACTATTGAGAGGACAATGGTATGGCTGCTCTTATTTTAGAGGCACCAATGAACAAAGTCTTTCCTTTCTTACCTTTGTGTTCTCCTCTCATCTTGAATCTGTCTGGGCCCATGGTCAACTTTGACCAATAGAAAGCAGTGGAGATGTCTCTGTGCCATTTCTATGAAAAATTGCGCTCTATATGTGTAATATGAATTGTAATGCATTCTGTTGTCATATATAACAAATTAAAAATTTAAAAAGAGACTAAAAGTATCTCCTGTTCGTGGGGATGCCAACTGTGACAGGAAGGGCCTGATAACCCTGGGTACTCAGAGAAGTCCAGAGGAGCCACATGAAAGCTCTCGTGGAGGAACTCATTCAACAGCAGCAACACCTTGCCAGCCCCGAGTGAGGCCATTACTAATACCTGCCTGGCAGGACACCCATCCTGCCTGATCTGAGTTCTGGCTTCCCCCACCCTCATTCAAATAGGAATGGATCCAGACAATCCACAGCAGTTCATGAAATAATTATAGTAATACATTTTTCTTTCTGATGCACACATGGAAATCATTTACTCAAAATGAGTTATGAGTGTTTTGTGTCTAATGAAAATAATGTCCTTAATGTAAGCATCATTTTAATTCTTAAATTAACTTGAAAGCATCTAAAAATGCAAAGGTTCATCATATAATCTGATGAAGATAACTTTGTGAAAAAAACATCAAACACCACCATAAATTCTCCCATCTTACCATTTTATATTCTTTCCAGCCTCTTTGGAAATCTAGACTTCCATCTTCACGATGCTGTATGACAGTCCAACCTCCTCCATTCACATCCATGTTGCAAAATACCTGGCAGAAGAAGGGAAAAGAAAGGCAGGGGGGAAATATGTTTATTTTAAAGGAGGATGTATCTGACATATTTCAAAATGAAAATAGGTCTAAAGACCTGCAAGAAAAAGAACTACATTGGGAAAATATTAATTCAGACATATTGCTTATTTCTTCCCATAATTCATACTTGAGTTACTTCTGATCAAATTCTATCAATGATGCATCAATTCCTTGTAAAAATTTAGATCAGCTAGCTGAAAATTCAGTCTCAGAGTATAAAAATTAAAAATCAACATCTTAAATGGAAATAGGCACTTGTATAAGTTTAAATTTTTAAAATGCTACTAAAGTTTCTAAAACTAGGCCATTTTATGTTTAAAGCATAACTCACATTTTTTCAATATTTTAGTATTGGTAATATAAGATTAAAGTTTTGGGTAATATAATTTTTAAAAAGTTTATGTATATATATAAATATCTCATTATTTCATATTTTATTTCATAACTGCTAGATATTTACATACTATGATAATTATTCTTGATGGCTACATACTACATGAGGGGCAAAATTTGGTCCTCAGCACATGGAGAACACATTATTTGCTTAAGTTTTAGTCATGAACAATAAGAGGAGAACATGACATACTATATTCCTTCTGACTGTGACAAGCATTTCTTTCCCATGTGGAAAAGTTATCCAAATCTTTCAAAGACTTAGGCTTATTTCAATTATTCTAAATGTAATAGCATTTAGTTAAACAACTGATTCATTTTCCCTAGAGTCCACCCTAGAAGGGAAATGCATCTGTGATGGGATGATCTTTGGAGAGCAATCACTGGAATTGTTGTAGCATGGATGTGGCAGTTGATTATTCAAGGGCTGGGCTATGGGGAACACCATTCTGCAGCAACTGAATATTAAAGCATTTTGAAGGTTGGCTGACGGTGTGGATATGATACAGCCACAGCAGGCAGGCGGTGGAGACACAGGACTAAGCTCTGATTAAAGGAAAAACCTCAATGTTTTCCCTGTGGCATTACATTTGGAGCACAAATGGCCAAAGGGTATGAAAGCAATGGAAACAACTGTCATTCAAAGGGCAAACTACTCATGTACTTCCTCAGAGTGAAAGGAATGGAGACACACATGTCTATGCGAACATATGAAACAAGACAACCGCCTCTCCTGAGGGCTCCCCTCTAACTTGACAACAGCCACCGACCCTGTATGTCATTCCTCGGAACTGATTCACCTCCAAGATTATAAATTTTAAATTGCCCTCCCTTTCCCAGCATTACCGCTACTGACCCTTCTCCATCTGCTCTTTGTCCTTAACCTCTAATTAGTTTCTCATCTTCCTTAATTCTAATTTATTCATTCACTTACTTTTTCACTCAGCAAGTGTTCTTGGGCATTGGTTTGACATTACAACTGAGGATATTATGATGAATAAAATATGTCTCATCAACTCAAAACACTGCAAAGTTGCAATAGTGACTGATCCTATAGGATTAAGAGACACTGAAATCCATAACTTTTAACTCCAGTGACCTAAAGAATAATAGTGACAATGATCTAAATGAGAGATTTATAAAAAGAGCTAACATTCAAGAGAAGAAAATGATGATGATTTGGGATATTTAGTGTTTTAGGTAGCTATCCAAAAAGAAGTGTTAATTGACAAGTTAGAGATGTTCTACTGAAACATCTGGAGATAAGACAAAGGATAAATTTTACTGAGAATAAGGAGATAAAAAGAAGTCATTAACAATGGTGTTTTTGTTAAGTGCCAGGTAACTTAAGCACTTTATATGCATTAATCTCACAAAAACTCTATGAAGAAGGTATGATTATCATTTCCATTTTATTTGTGAAAAAAGTGAGAGTATTTCAGAAACTTACCAATGGTTATACTTAACCATTAGTACTGGGTCCAAGATTTGAATTGAATTTAGGATTTGAACCCTATGTTTACCTAATTCAAAATTGTTGGGAGTAATGTACTTAAAATCAGCAGTTGGTCACATGAAAATAGATACATAATTTAAAGAGCTCAAACAAAAAGGATTTAGAGATATGAGGATGGGAGAGGGAGGAGGGTCTATGAGTGGACTTTGGTGAATAACTGGTGGAGATTAAATACATCAGTAACTTAGAGATGGATAGGTATTCGCTGTCATTTGCTGCCATTCTCAGGGCCTATAGTATTGCCTAGCCAAAGGTGGTATTCAAAGAATATTTGATGAACAAATAGAGATATAATAAAAATAAAATAAGAGGGCTGGGGTTGTAGCTCAGTGTTAGAGCACTTGCCTCGCATATGTGAGACCCTGGGTTTGATCCTCAGCACCACATAAAATAAATAAATAAAAATAAAGATATTGTGTCCATCCACAACTAAAAAATATTTAAAAAAATAAAATAAGAAAACTTGCAAACAAAACTGGGTATATATGCTGAGTTTGGGATGTGATAATCAAATATTTGAGAGAAATCAGGATAACTAAAAATTAAGAAAATATATATGTAAATTTGAAATGAAGAAGCCATTAGTGATCTTGATCTGAGAGATTGCAGGACTGCTATGAGGATAAAATCAGATGGCACAGCTTAAAAGGGGGCATAGGTGGTAATTCAGCAGGTGAAACTTTCCTGATGACATTTAAATCAGAACAAAGGAAAATGAAAATGTCAAGGACACATTTTGCTAAGGAAAATAAATTTCACTCATTTCTCAATTAAATTTTACCCTGCTGTCTTTGGTAATCCCAAATTTTCTCCTTCCTTCCTTCCTTTCTTTCCCTCACCCTTCTTCTTTCTGTCAGAAGAAAAGAGTATATATAGAAAAAAAAAAAAAACTATGCTGTCTAGTTTTTAATGGCTGTTAAGTGTTATCAAAATTCTATGGCTTTGTTTTACAATCACTCACAAATTTTTAGAAAAGACAACTTCCCTTTTAAGAAGGTACCCAGCTACTTGGAAATGTTAAGAAGTGCTGAGATTGCATCTTAGATAGAGACCCAGAGAGAGACAGAGCTTCATGGGGAGGTAGAAATTACCCAGGCAGATTACAGGTTTGGAAGCTGAGATTCTGAAAGGTCAAGGGATTTGACATATGTCACAATTCTTATCAAGACTCCATGGCAGCAATGATAACAGTCGAACAGTCTCCATTTGTTGAATTTGGGTATAAGAGAGCAGAATGACACATTGCTCAGGGGCACAGACTTGAGTGCTGGATTGTGTAGATTCAGATTCCCACATCTGCTCTCTTACATCTTTTGTGAGGATTAAACGAGCCAATGTGCATAGAGTTTTTAGAGTATTATTTTGCAAGCAATAGGCATTGCCATTGTTCTTATCTCTTACATGCATTTTATTTTATTTATTTATTTGGTACTGGAGATTGAATCCAGCACTTTTCCACTGAGCCACTTTTCCAGCCCTTTTTAATATTTTTTATTTAGAGACAGGGTCTCCCCAAGTTTCTTAGTGCTTTGCTAAATTGCTGATACTGGCTTTGAACTCAAGATCCTCCTACCTCAGCCTCCCAAGCTACTGGGATTACAGGTGTGCACAAATAGCATCCGGCTCTTACATGCATTTTACAGATAACATGTATTTATATTATATAATATCACTGTGTATATAATATTTAATATATTACAATATGGTTATTATATAGAACATTGCATATGATTTATATTATTAACTTGCTATGAATAATATGGAATATAGAAAATTCAAAATATGCAGAAGTTCAATAAAATTCCCTACAATTATATTCACTGGCTTCTAGTTAACAGTATTGGCATCACTAATCTTTGATCATGGTATTTTTCAGTCTTTAAGAAGTTGGATTCACTCTTAAAAAAAAAAGCAGTTATTTTGTCAATAGTCAGAATAAAAATTAAAATCCTATGCCTAACAGATGAAACAAGTTCCAGAAAATAGAAGATCAGTTTCAGAAAGATTTGAAACATGAAAGGACCTGAAAAGTTCACTTGCCAGCACTCTGTGGTCAGTGCTATCTGGCGATTCTTCCTGTGGACAAGGCCCACTACATTTACTATGCCTGTTGCATGTATTGATCATATGACTTGGGCTTACTTCTATCCAAGAAAAGATTGAACTGGCTCCTATCCCAGGCAAGGTCAAAGCTCTCGAGCATTAAACACCTTTTAACATAATACAGCGGTCTAAACCCAAACAAAAAGGGGAAATTTGATTCACATACTTTTTATGCTTTTATTTTTCATACAAGTTGGAATGATTAGCTTTGTGGACATTAATTATTTTTCCATAACCTTAAATCAAAAAGTCTTAACACATTTGTTATAGTCCTTTTCCAAGAATTAGGGGAATTATGAGTTCAGAGCAAATTTTTAATATTTTACAATAAGTGTTATGATTTAATGGTTTATTTTTTTGGATGAAACTAAGATGGCTATAGGGCATTTGGTTTTAGAAAATTATGAAATGAAAGAGAAAATCCTGTTTCCTAGTACCATGCATTGAAGGGAATTCAGAGAAGGAAATAACCACAAGCCATTAATACTATCAAAGCAAAAAAGAAAGAAGTAAAAGATGGAATTCTCATTTTTCTATCTTCTTGAAAAATTAAATCACCCTAGGAAACCATATGACATTTGAAAAGACAACACTTTTCAAGCTTTTGCAAACATTTCTGTTTTAGCACGGAACAATGTCAGGCAAAACAAAGACTAACAATTCTGTTAAATTTGCAACTATTACACTGCTTAAAAGATGAATAACTTATTTTAAAAGATCTTATCAATTGTCTAAAATAGCCCAATTTTATTGATTAGTTCACATTCCATAGTATATGTATTTGGGGTTATTTTTATAGGCTTGTTTTGAATTTCTTGAAATTTTGAAGGCATTAAAATGATCAAAACTATTGCTAAGCATATCCAAGTGTAGCACCAAACTTTTTATCTATAATTCCCAGTCTATTAAGAAGGGTAAAAGTCCAAAAAACAAGGTTTTCTTTTAGTGATTTTTACATGTTTAAGAAAACATCATTGATTTTATATCAGATAGAAGTAGAAAGTAAAATTACAGGATAGTGGGGAGTGAGGTAGATAGTTAAGAACATGAATCAATTTACTCACTTTCTTTCTAATAATAAACCCTTGCCTATGTCACTTGGAAGTAAGTTCATGTTCAACATTATGAATTGTGCAACTTCAGTCATCACTAATATAATCATCCTGCTTAAGCCTTTAGTTAAGATGGTGCAATATGGAGTCAGAATCCTTTGTTTCAAAGCCAGTTTTCAACATTTACCAATTATGTCATTTGGGCAAACTATTTGTCTAAAATAGAGGTAATGGGGACACTCATTTCATATGATTTTTGAAAAGAATAAATGAGTGAGCGCAAATGAAAGAAAAGCAGTCAGATCAGGAGCTGGCAAGCCGTTAATGCTCTGTACATTTGAACCAATGCATTAACCAGCTTCTGAATTTCTTTGAGGAAATTCATACAATATGTGTTCTTACCAGGGTCACACTAAGTGATCATAATAAGGGATTTAAGTCAAAATGTGTTACTTATTAAAAATAAATGTAGTTACATCAGTCTGAACAATAGAGCAGTATTACCGCTTGTGAGAGAATCCACGATCATAAAGGGGAGGGAATAAAGTAAGAAAGGAAGCACCTAAGTTCAGAGTCTCTCTCCCCCTAGCTCAGTCACCCCTGTTCTTGTCACACTCTGCTACCATTTGTTTTATTTCCAATAAAAACAAACCCAATCATAACTAAACCTATTGATACAATCATAACTAAACCTACTGATAGTCCTGACCAAGTCATGTAAGAACGTCTTTCCTTTGAGAAGCCATTTTTAGAGCAGTTTCTACAGTGCTAAAATTTGCCTCTCATGGATATACTCTGATATTCCTGTGAACTTGCTCAAGTTACAATTTTTTCATAAGCTCACAACTCAGAAATTTCATCCAAAAGTGACTTGACATTGTGGATTTAATGTTTTACCTTTTTTTTTTTTCAGATTTAGGGGCTGGGTGGTAGAAAACATCTCTACCATGCAAGGAGCACTGGGTTTGTTCCCCCACGTAAATAGATTTCTCAAATATTTTATTTATCCAAGAACAATTCTGAAGCTCCATTTTATGTAAAATACACTATTTGGGGGAAGCATAAGTTTAAATCATGCTGTCTCCATGTAAACAACTGAGAAGCAGCCACTGAACCAGTAAAGTGGATCCTAAGCCTGCTCTTTTATAAATATGGAAATTCTCCTAGATTGTGAGTTAGAAAAGGATATTTTCCTATCCTAACAAGAGCAGTGGTTCTGCATATAGTCTGTGCATCGTTTGCATCTCAAAATATTTTGAACTAGAGTTGAGCTATGCTTACATATGAACTGAATTTTATGAATTAAATTGCTTCTCTCCATCCGCAAGGGCCACCTGGTATTACTGGTGATGTAGTGAAAAATTCTAGAAGTCTGAAAGTTCTCAATCTGAAAAGCCTGAAAATTCTGTTTCTGTTTTGATACATACCACAGGATCTTCAAAAATCTAAAAGGAGAGTCACTTAATATTTTTAATTAATGACATTTTTGTTTTTATTTCAAGCTATAAGCTCCGGTTTGACTGATAATAAATTAGGGGTTTTTTGAGATTTAAGGCAGTTCTGTAGATAAATCAAGAGTATATTCATTTTTGCTTCCCTCTCCTACCCCAGGACAGTTTCTTAAACACTTTCCTATATGTTATGTGTATTCTCTCTGTGTGTATGTGTGTGTGTGTGTGAGTGTGTTTGTGATTTCAAGCATAGGTATGACCTTAGTATACCCAAACTTTCCTTCTTATTCTAGTCTCCTCACTCTCAGACTTACCATTTTATGTTCACAGTTTTTGTCTTGTTTTAAACCGTGAGCATTTGAGAGAAATGAAATCTTGCACAGAACAGGTGAAATAAAACTTGTCCGGTAGGTAACTGAGGGGGCAATATATGGAACTGTGCGTGCCACCTTTCCTGCCTCCTGTACTTATTCACACCCATCCTTTTCCCACTTGTAGAAAAACCCTCAAAGGTCACTTTTGGAAAGAAAATGTTGTCCCAGAAAAGAGGAAAAATTTTTTGAGCCAACCTAATATATTAGAACTTTGGGAATCTGGAGAGAGATAACAGCAGTAAAAAGAGAAACAGAGTTTGACCTGAATTATCAACCAGACTCTGTCTCAGCAATGACAAGACATCTGGCAAACTAGTCTCAAAGATTCATGTATCTTGCTTATCAAAGGAAACCAACTATCAGAAAGACAAAGTTATATTTGCTCACTGTATACTACAGAAAAGTGTTGACATTATCATCAGCATTCATTCATTCATTCATTCATCCTGGCACATACTTATTGAGGACTTACTATAAGCAGAAACCATGCTAGTTTCCAGAAAATCGAAAATAAAAAGACATAGTCCCTTTGGGGCTGGGGATGTGGCTCAAGCAGTAGCGCGCTCGCCTGGCATGCGTATGGCCCAGGTTCGATCCTCAGCACCACATACAAACAAAGATGTTGTGTCCGCCAAAAACTAAAAAATAAATATTAAAATTCTCTCTTCTCTCTCTCTCTCTCTTTCTTAAAAAAAAAAAAAAAAAGACACAGTCCCTGCCTCATAGAACTTGTAGTGAGAAAGTCCTGCAAGTCTGCTTGGGGAATCAAGGAAGGCCTTCCAGAAACATTTGCACAGTACCCAGAAGAAAGGAGACTGTGACAGGTAATTTAGAGGGGAGGAAAGTTTGTCTGTGCTGCAAGAGTAGGCAATCTGCTTTGGACCTTGGGTGTCTAGCTAAAGCTTTTACACATTGAGAGCTCTGCTCTCACCTCTAATCCCACTTTATTTGGCTGCCTCACCACGATGCTCCCCATATTCCCTGCTTCAGAAAAACCATCTGCATCACAACTCTTCCACAGTATTTTACAGCTATCTGTGTAAATATCTCTTATCACTATTACACTGGAAACTGTTTATTCCAAACTGATGTCTTTGGATAGTGACTGACAAATAAATGGCATCCACTTAATAGTACTGAATGAAGGCATGGATATTTTAATAAGAAAATAACAGGGGTGGTACAGAAAAGAGAGGTGACAGCAGGAAGATACTGCTTGCTTACTTTAATGTTTACTTTGGGGCTTGTTCAACACAAGGAGAAGTCTGTTCTCCAACCTGCTCTTTTATGTAAATATGAAAAGCAAAGCCTTTCAAAATTATAAGTTAAGACAGAGTACGATTATCCCACTTTAATAGGAGCAGTAATCTGTAAATAGCTTGCACCCTGCTATATACCCTGCTCCCCCACACCCCTCATGGAGGATGGGAACCCTCTAAGTTCTCTGGGCTTTGGAATATGGCTGCTATTCCTCATGCACTCAAGATAGGTGTGACTTCAACATTTGATCTGTGCAAGACAAAATTTCTGAGCAATGAGACATCCCATGAATAGCAATGAATAAAGGGAATGCTAATGTGAAAAAGGAATAAACAATACAAGGTTTAGAGTACATCTGTACAATAGGGTTTTGTCCCCTGTGGGCCTGGGAAACAAAGTTATCTTTGGGAGAAATGAGCTCACACACACACACTTTTTGTTTTTCCATTTAACAAGCTCACAAATCAATCTGATTATCATCCAGCAATTCAACTAGGATCTGCTTTACATCCCATAAACAAACACTTCTGGTTTTACCTTTTTGGGTTCTGGCATATTATTAATATAAATAGTGTAGATTCCACTTTTATTAAAACCAGCTTGATATACATCTGCACAGTCTCTAAATGGTTTTTCTTCCTCTCTTTTTCCTCCTTTTAGCAAAACTGCAAAAAAAAAAAAAGATTGCAATATATGAATAAGAATATCAGTACCTTTAACACCCACATGTACTTCAAGAGTAGCTACACATGACTTCATTCTCTCCACATAAAGGTCAATATTGCATTTACCAAAAACCAAACATAAAGACAATATCAGATTTTTACTGGTGATTTACAAAATTAAAAAATGGAAAAAAAAGTTACAAGGCAATTTCTAACTGCATATTTATAGTTTACTTGGGCTGGGGATGTGGCTCAAGTGGTAACGCGCTCGCCTGGCATTCGCGGAGCGCTGGGTTTGATCCTCAGCACCACATAAAAATAAAAATAAAGATGTTGTGTCCACTGAAAACTAAAAAGTAAATATTAAAAAATTCTCTCTAATTTCTTAATTTTGGTTTTTCTATATATCTTTTCCAAAGCATCAATTCAAAGGACAAATAAACTAGTCGTGTAATACCTCTAACTGGTAGCAATTTATGTCAATGTTTCCTGAAAAATTTCTAAAACATTCTTATCTACATTTCATAGGAAAATTTTATTCATTTATTTTGTGTGTGTGATTCTATCGACCAAACCCAGAGCCTCACACTTGTTAGGCATATGCTATACCACTGAGCTATATGCCCAGTCCTGGGAAAGTTCAGAAAGATGCCAAAACATTTTTTGGAGATGTAAGAGATGAAGAAAAATTCAAGCATCAAAATGTAGCATTGCAGTTTAAAACACTAAAAGAACGTAGCACCTTTCTTTTGTGGCTTTATAGTGATAAATTCCTATAAATTTTACAAAAACCAAAACACAAATTAACTCTCAAAATAATTAGATTTGGGAAGTAGAAAAGAGTTTATGATCCAATTTAACTACCTTGAAAGAAAATATAATAGCACTTTGTATTTTGTTTAATGCCCTGAAGCTAAATTATCAGGTTAATGATATATGATTGATAAAATGAATAAGACTTTGAAATTAAGTTTTAAAGGGGAAATAATCACCTAAAAGTCAAGTGAAGACAGGAAATTTAGTCAGCATGCTAGACAAGCTTGTACCACTGAGCTACATTCCCAACCCTCTTTTTAATTTATTTTGAAACCGGGTCTTACTAAGTTGCACAGACTTGCCTCAAACTTGTGATCCTCCTGCCTCAGTCTCCTGAGTACCTGGGATTACAGATGTGGGGATACCATGCTCAATTTACCTAACTTTAAAACTTATTAAGAATATTTTGCAGTATCACTGCTAACATTTTCTGTTGCTTAATAAGAATCTGTCTTCAATTAGTTTATTTTACAATGGTCTTTTATAATAAAAATGGCAAAACTAAACTATGAATTAATGCTTTTAAATTGATTTTTAAATACTCAGAAAATCTAAAATAATAACCTGACTTAAATTTTACTTGCATAATGTTTGTTAATTTCTAGGTAACAATGAGTCTAATTTTTGTGGAAAGAATTACTATCTCAGTGTGAATGTTTCAATTTTTCAAACATACTAAATTATTTTTCAAGAAAATGAAACATTCATATCAGATATTCTGCCACAACAAAAATGTAAAAATGTATTAAAGCATTTAATGACATTATACTTTTCTATATAGCTCATATCTGTACTGTTTTGCCTGAATGTATTAACAATTAGAGCTGTATATTACTACAATTGCAATATCAACACAGAATCAAGTAAACTAAAAGATTATAGGTTCATATCACAGTGAAGAAGTATTGCATAGAATATAGGAAAATATCAATTAAAATGTATATATACATGCTTAAAAACCATCTTTATGGCACTAGGCCTATTAATCAATTATATAAAGGTATTGTTTTCAAAGTGTCAATGTAGTTCAATAGTGTTCACTTACTTCAACTTTATGGACCATTATTTTTTAAAAACAAAACCTTCCTAAAAGCTAAATACTTTTCTCATGTTATAAATTAAAATAAATAAATAAATAGTCCAATTAAATGCCTAAAATAGGGATGTAAAGAAATACCAACTAAAATTTATGATTCTTTGAAAGTATGAAAAAAACAGGAAGATGTGGTCAACAGAACCCACTGGTAAACCCACTTTTCTTTTGGGGGCGAGAGATGGAGAATCATTTATCTAAGGAGAAAATGCTTCGCTTGTTGAATATACCACTTCCTGCCCTCCCATATGTGGTGGTTCAGGAGAATACACTCCCTTCCTCCTCTCAGCCTCCTCCCCCTCCCTTTCTTTTCCACTTCAGGAAGCTGTTTCACATATGCTTTCAATGATAGAAAACAAGGGGGAAAGCTGGTCAGTATCTTGTTTTTGTGGAAACTTGCTCTATGTTTTCTAAATCATATCTATACCTGGGAAAGTGGTTTGAAGATTCTAACATCAAAGGTCCAACTAGTACTATGGTTATATTGTGAATTTTTGTTATTGCGATGGTAATATATATGACACAAAGATTTCATTTCATTAAAATTTAAGTCATTATTTTTTAAAAAAATGAAATATATTTTTCAGAAGACATAGATACATTCTTTCCAAAATGATTAGACTGCTTGCTTTTAATTACTTATTAATTAGCCACCATTATGCTTGAAAGTTTGATTCAGGCTACAATTATAGCCCTGAATCATTTAAAAAATCAACTTAAAAGCTTCTCCACAGCTTACCTTTGCTACTTTTAGAATACACTATGATTTAAAGAAGATTCCCTATATAAGGGTAGGTTGACCTCCAGGGTTTGTATTTATTGATTTATTTTAATCTATAAAGTGTGATAGTTATGTGAACTACAAACAGAGTGAGTGAAACATTTAAAATGGTGATTTTCATTGTTGACATGATAATGATAATAACACTGTTCATGGCAACCTTGAAACAGGAGCAGAGCATGGAAGGCCAGTCAATTCAGTCTATGGAGTGCTGGGAGCTGCTGCCTTCCACCCTCAAGTTCAGACTTTGTATCTAATGAATCCAGGGCAAGACTGGTTGTATGTAAAATCGTACCTACCTGGCCTGTCCTCATCAAACATGATTAATTAACTTACATCATTCACTAAATATTCAGATTATACCATTGTTATTCCAGCCTAAAAGAAACAGGCAATTTAACCAGATAAACTTCACCTTAATAGTTAAGATTTTTAAACATTTAAGATAAAATGATGTATGATGCATATACCAGCCTGATGGCTGTAACTTTTTTGAGGCCTATTTCATTGACTATAGGAGCACTCTGAAGCTCAAGGTCATGTGTAGATATTGTAAAACATTTTAAAACACAGTCACAAAGATGAATTTGCTGAACTTTGCCAGGATCAGCACTAATTTTTAAAATTTTTTAGAAGGTCTTGAGATTCAATTAGATGGAAAAGATAGCCAGAGTAATGTGTGATAGATGATAAGAGAGGGACAGAATCCCTGATGGAAGAGTATACCAAGTACCAACTAGACAGAGCTGGGGCAGTGATCCAGAGACCTGACAGAAGTCTTCATCTAACTCTCAAAGTGGCTGGAACTTTTAATAAAATAGAATGAATTTAAAAATTGGTCTTTACACCTAAAGTTCCCCCTTTGACCACAAACTCATCTTTTCCTCTCCTATTCTTTAATCCCTAATGAGTATGTCTTTCCTCTACTAGATCCTGGCCATTCTATCAACCCTTTCTTAGCCTCCCCTTTCTTTCTTCCTAGCCACTAGCTTTCACTCAGACATCTGCGAATGTTTCAGGTGGCTTTCACTTCAGTCCCTATCGACTGTCCTTCTACCCATTCATCCTTGCATGGGCAAATCCTGGCCTGCAGACAGGTGAGATTTCATTCACTTTCTTACCCCCATTCTAGATTGCAAGCACTAGGTCATTTCTAGTAGATTTCTATCATATTTCCTACAAGTGCCTTTAAAATTTTCCACTTTTTAAAAGATGAAATCCCACTCCAGTCTCCTGTCACTTTTTATATGATGTTTAGGATTTACCATGAGGATCGGGGCTATGTCTCCTCTACTCCCTCTACACTGTAGAAGTCATCTTTGTATTTATTCCACGTCTTTTGTATTGGTCCCTCCTGTTCCCTTCTCTATGTCTCTAATTGTGCTTTCTCCTTTATCTTTATGGCTTTCTCTTCTCCTCACCCACTATGCACATGTTTAGTAGGATTCCATTTTTGGATCTTTATTCCTTATAAATAAATTCATATTGCAAACTATCTAACATGGCTTCAAACTTCCAGAGAGAATTCTAAGATACATAAGCATTTTGAACTCTGCATTTGCCTCTCTCTAACTCATGATCCCTATTTCTACCATCTGTCAGGCAGTCCCTACTACCACCATGGCTTTCATTCATTTTGTCACCTAATCTTTCCTTCCGAACCCTGTGTTGTCTCTTTCTCTCACTGACCCTGCTTCCTCTCCTGGGTGTCATCAGTTAAAAATTAATGTAAGTGTAAATATAAGATAATTAGACTGTGGCATTTTTATTGGTCTTCTACATCATGTTCCTCTTAATTAATTAATTCCACAAATATTGATTGACCATCTGCTATAAATAAGACTTCCTAGGCAACAGAGATAGAGACATAAGAAAATACAATCCTACCCTTAATGTGATCACAGCTGGATGGGAGTAAGATTATGTGAGTAGATCTTTCATGGCAGGGGCAGACTCAACTCATGCCAGTTTAAGCAAAAAGAAAATGTATTGAATCATGTCATTGAACAATCCAGGGTAGAACTCTAGGTGAGGCATGATCAGGTTTCAAACAATGTGATCAGGATTTGGCTTCTGTATCTTTGCTCTGACTCACATCTGTTGGCTATCTACCTGGTCACAAGACAGCTGGAGAAATCTTCTAGGACTATGATGTTACCAGTTTAAAGGTATTACCAAAAAAAAAAAAATGGGATGATGACAATAACTGTCTTAGAAGTATGTGTCAAGTGCCCTAGGCACATGCAAGAAGAACATACTCCATCTGCCAAGTGGACTCATGGAAGGCTGCTTGGAAGAGATAAAAAATAC